TTGCAGCCTGCGCTCCTGCCTCACCACATAAATAACTCAGCCACAGCCATCATTCAGCTCATCATACCCTTTCTAGGAGCCACTCTGCTTTCCCCACCTAGGGAGGGGGGCTAGAAAAGGTGCCCAAAACATAGCCTTCCAAAAAAAAAAAAAACTGACTGGGCAACCACACCCAGTAAGGTCATCCTTATGTGGTCGAAAACCCAATCAAAATTACAGATCCAAACAAAAACTAAAACAAACTATACAGCCACTTATGGTGTTTTGGAATGTCAGGATCCTTCTCGATACTGGCACAAATGAGCGTCCTGAAAGAAGAACTGCTCTTGTGGCAAAAGAGTTGGCGAGGTATAACAACGACATAGCAGCCGTTAGTGAGTCCTAGCTCCCAGACGAGGATCAACTTACAGAACGGGGGTCTGGCTATGCCTTCTTCTGGAAGGGTAAGCCTGCTGCGGAGAGAACCCGCATTTATGGAGTTGGCTTTGCCATCTGCCAACGCCTCCTACGTAGGCTAACTGAAATGCCTACTGGGATCAACGATCGCCTCATGACGCTCCGAGACCCACTGAATCATTCCTGGCATGCTTTTTTCATCAGTGCATACGCCTCAACACTGGAGGCCTTTTACACCGACCTCGACAGAGCACTAACCTCTAAACCCAGAGAAGATTAGGTTGTGCTTCTTAGTGATTTGAAGAGCAGAGTTGGCAGAGAGGCTGACATTTGGCAGGGAACCATCGGGAGAAATGGACAAGGCAAGTGTAAGCCCAACGACCTATTCCTGCTCGGCACGTGTGCTGCACACAACCTCACTATCACCAATGCCTCATCACCCATGCCATGCGTGGCTCAGACCACTGTGACACTGATCATCAGCTTGTCAGAGCCAAGTTCTCACTTCACATCGCCCCAAAACGGCGAAGGAAGCAAGCCTGCAGAAAAGGTTTTAACACAAATCCTCTGGAAGAGTCAGCGGTAGCACATGCTTTCAGAGAGGAGTTCGAACATGGATGATGAACAACACGACAACGAACAACCCAAATCCCAATGCTGAATGGGAAATTCTCAACACTGTCATGACAAAAACCTGTAGAGAGACCCTCGGCCTGATCGAATGAATACACCTTGACTGGTTTGATGAAAATGACCCGGCAGTCAAGGTACTCATCAATTATAAACGTGCTGCTTTAACTAACTGTCAGAACAACCCTCAATCTCGGACCAAAGGTGATACCTTCCGCAAGAAGAAAGCTGTGGTCCAGCGGGAACTTCGCAATCTAAAGAATGACTGGTTTAAAAATAAAGCATGTGAAACACAAAAATTTGCAGAACGGCACATGATGTGCGAATTTTTCAATTCCACCATAATATTTTATAGGCCAATCACTCGTGGCACAGCCCCCCTGCGCTCATCCGACAGTAACTCCATAATTATAGACGGAGAAGGTCTCCTTCAGCGTTGGAAAGAGCACTACCATTCACTACTCAACTGAAACACTGATGTGGAATATCAGAGCTGCCGTTTAATCCTCAACTATATGACGTCATTTTCTTTACGTTTTCTTTGGGTATAAATGGACATTAAAGAGCATGGAGTTTAGGTATAAATATGGTAATGTCTTGGAAAAACGATATATTTGCGTAAATAATGCCACTTTCACTGGCACATTAGTGTAATATAAATATGCACATACAAAAACCTTACAGCCATGTAATATTATAACATAACGGAGTATTAAACACTAATTGAACAAAAAATATCAAACAGAAGTTAGTATCCTCTGATTTGGGGTAAAATTTATACATCCACCCTGGAATTTCACAGCCTCAGACAAGGCTATTAATTATTTAACAGAGGGAGTTTACAGAGCGCTTCTGGATTTTGTTTTCATTAATTCAATTTAGAAAATAGTCTCTCTCCATCTGCATTGGATGTTGGAAGAGACAATACCTGCAAAGCAAGTGTACAAAGGTCCTTAAATTGGGAAACGCTTACACCGTCCCTAAGTTCCCTAAGTTTTGTATAAACGTCCACTGTCACTGCTGTCCTTAATCTCCATTGATCATCTAAAACTTGTATACTGCCACTGTATATGCGGGGCAACCGCCTTCACAAAGTCGTATAAGGATGGCCTCTCCTTCCTGGATTTAGTATCAAATGAACACATCCATAAAAACGTACTGACAAGCTCAAATCTTTGACATAATTGTACACAAAGGTTTATCATGAAGGTGCAACATCTGAATTGTACATCCTTGACCACATTAGTGAGTTCTCTATATTCTTCACTTTGAAGTAGGCCGTGTATTATTGCTCCCAAGTATATTTGGATTACTGGGAGGTAATTTTCTTCATTTGTGGGATCAACTGCATCAAGATTACCCGTTTGAAAAACTTCATGACAAAAATATCCCAAAAGATTCCTGTGAAGCTGACATATACTATCGTGTAACAAATGTATAGTTGGCGATCCTCTCTGAAACAGTAGATTTAACTTGTTTCATTTTGGCCAATATTAAATTAAGAAAATTGTAGTACAATCAAAGTGAAGGGTCCCTAAGACTCTCTGCTATTTGTTGTACGGCCACCAATCTTTCCTCTTATTATTTTAAAGTAAACATTTTTAAGGGCTGCCACTGCTCTAATACTCTTTCAACTGCTTGGTGGAATGATAACCAGCGGGTCTGATTTACATGTAGAACTTTGTGTACTTTGACAGTTCAGAATGATTGATATTCCTTAAATTCATGTTGCCGTTTAGCACCATGGCAAAAAATAGGTATACATAAGTCTTGTCATGTCTTGACAACGCCGTGGTAGCGTCTTTGCAGCCTCCGAAGCGCTTAAGTGAATAGAATGACATATACATTTCAATATGGTTATACTAGGAATAGTGATACGTAGTCTGCTGCTTACAGAATTGTGTTCTCCCATAATGTTACAATCTCCATCAGCAGCAAAGCCAATCAGGTTCTAATGTGGAATTCGGTGGGTTTTTGATGTTTTCATAATTAAATTATACAAAATTTTCCTCTGTTGACCCTGTAGGTGATTCGTCACCACATACATTGATTACCTCTAGTAACCCAGATTTAATGCTATTTGTGGTCGAATCCCAGAATCTTACAAGAACAGAGCATGCTTTCATCGTACTAATGTCTGTTGTTTCGTCAACAATAATGGAAAATTAATTTTCACTCAGATTATCTAATAAATCCTCGGTGAAACACGGTCCTAATGTCCCCTAACCTCTGTGCATTTTGTTCTTTTCCTGTTCATGCCTTGAGCAATTACAGAATCGGGAAACATCCTCTTCGTGAGGTTTACTAAACGATCTGCAGCGGTAAATGGCAAGTTCGAATCGAATCGATGGGTGAAGTAAAGTATGAAGAGATTTTGATGCTGATGCGTAGATTGGCGGTGCGGGAACTGGACTTGAAGAATGATGGTGGAATTTTGAGGGACTTGGGGGTTGGTGGATAGTGCAAGAAGAAAAGCGCTCCGCTATAAACCAAGCAAAAAAAACTTTTCCTATGGCTACTCCATTTGCTACATAGTTCCCATTGTGGACCGGAATTCTATCCTGCTGGACCCCCTGTTGTTCCGAGGCCTCATAAACTGCATACATCTTTGTTGTCTTGTGACGTTTGATTGCTGTCAACTCCGCACTCACTTCCCTCTTGCATATGTTGCAGAAGGCCCTAGATGGATTGTCCTCAACACGGTACAACCAGGGCTGGAAATCTTCATTTTTCAGCCATGCATCTCTGAAGCTCCGCTTCGCAACCATCACCACCTGCAATAGATGATCTGATCAACTTTTGTGTAGTTTCCCCTACAAACCCAAGAATAACTAAATCAGTGAATAATTGCCATTATCGTTCTTAACTACTTGCATAGTCCTTTATAAGAGCACATGAATATATATTTGTCCCTTCGGATTAATAAAAGGCACAAATGAACAAGATGTAAAGGTTTAGTCTATCTAATCATTTTTGTTAATAAAAGAAAACGGTTAAGGTATGGGTAGCTGCTACATATGTAGTTGCCAGTGATAAAAACTAATTAATTAAATGCCAATACAGTATACATAAATAAATATATCCTTACCGGCTTGTTGGTAGAGTTCTGTACGTCCGTCCAGCTGATGATACTTCGCTGATGATGACAGCTCTAACCAACTCCACGGACGAGAACAAACTGCAAGAGTGCCAGTTTTAATTTTGAAAATGGGGTTTCCACACCATTCAAAGGTCCCATTTTTATTTTGCAAGTTATATATTATTCACAATCTATTTATATTAGACGTTATCTATTGACATATACAAAATGAGTTGATAAAAAAGTCATCTATATAATTTTTTTTATTACGTCCTAGGACATATCAGGTCAGGTGGAAGTGGCCGAGGCAGCGGACTCTCCCTTTGGTCTTGTTTCTATTAGCACCATGACCACCCACCTCACCTAGCCTAATCTTTTACCCCTCCCCCATCGAATCCCGTCTCACCCCCACATTTCCTTCAGGGGCTTGGTCTTCCTATTAGATGTCAGTTGCTCTTAGTACCTAAAATGAATTTCAAAGGCGCTGTGATTCTAAATTGCTTTACATAATTCTTTCTTAGATGTAAAGCTTGTGTCTACACATATGTGAGACAGAGTGTATTTTAATGTCTGGTTAAATAACTAAGTACCACTGCCC